CCTCCCCTCCCGCCTCCTGTTACTATGGACGCGGCCGGGAGGGGAGGTGAGTCACAGGACCCGCCCCCTCACTGTGAAGCCAGTCGGCAGTGCGGGCCCCGGTGTTCGAACACCGGGACCCTGCACTGCCCCATATTGCAGGTCCAGATCGCACTGAGACTGTGCGGCCCGGTACCATTTGATCCGCGGACCGGTACCGGGGGTTGGGGACCACTGCTGAAACTGACAGGATGACAGCGGCTCCGATCTCCTTCCCGCTCGGCCATCCTGACAGCTGCGGGCGCGGCTTCTCTTATCTCCCTGAAGTGGGGGGTGGACGAGGGAGCGCTGTCATATCGGACGGCCAGCAGTGAGGGAGAGAAGCCGCCCCCAGGGCGAGCTGTGTCGGCCGCACGGCGCCCGTGTTGCCATGGCGCCCTGTACGGCCGCACAGCTCGCACACCCCTAAGGCCGGCCCTAGTTGTAGCTCTGAACTCACTGTCTTAGGTTACACAGAGCAACGGGGAATTTTGACTAGAGTGAGGTAGGATTATAACCCTGTCAGCAGATTTTTTGTTTTGTTATCCCTCTATGTTCCATGGGGGACATTTCCCTTCACTTCCTAGCCGATAATCACAACAGGAAGTTAGAGGAAATCCCTCCAAAGTGAAGGAAATCTCCCATGGTCAGCAGGGTCACTTTGGATATTTCTCCATCTATTCCTGTTCTTAAAGCAACTCAAAATTAAGGATATTCTTAGCTTCACTTGCATGTTAAAGGCTAATTTACTATACAAGCTTAAAGTGTATCTATAGTGAAAACTTTTTATCAAAACTCAATTACACTGCACCGCATACTACATAACCTAAGGACACCGTCGTTGTTACATAGCTGAAAGTTACCACCTCCCCCCCTGTTCTCTCTTTCATAACCCTGACAGTGATCACGTGATCACAATAAGCAGTCGCAGCTCCTGCAGTTTCCGCTAGCGGGTCACGTGGCTTCCGTACAGTGGTGTTACGCAGTTACGCCGCGTCTCCTGTCGGGAAAGTACGAAGTGTCATGGCCGGAGCGGGACGGTTGTTTTGCTCGTTGTGGAGCAGATGCTCAGTCCCGGAGCTGCGTGTTCCCTGTGCCGCTTACCACAAAAAGGTATAGGGAGGTCATGGGGGGAACTGCCATGTTCTGTAGCTGACATTACTGGGCTGAGGGGGGGACTCACGACAATACAGGGAAGCTGGAGTATCAGTCTCAGGAGGTGAGGGAGGTCCTGCATCTCCTAGTTACAGCGATGTGTAGAGGGTTGGGCGTCCCATGCAGTGACCCCTCGTTATTTTATAGGAGCTGCAGCATTGCTCTGCTTAGCCTTCAGGTTCCTATGGACCGTTGACTTGGCTCAATTGATAGGCTGTGTTGGTACTGAAATTTCACAGCTCGCTATAGAAATACCCACTTCCATAGCCATCTCTGTCATGCAATGCGTTGGCACACCTTTGACGGCACAGGAAACCATTGTAGTCGGCTACAGAAGTGCCTCTGGGCTGGCTACAAATCTACAGACAGGTTCATGGATTTCTATCTGCTGGTTGTGGGTGTGACAAGGCCTGCGTTCACCCAGATACAGAAAAGGTACGTATTGGGCTTTTCTAAGTCCTCGGTCATGCTGTGCTCTTGGTGGTTCATTCCACCTCTTACCATTTGTTTAGCTAAGTGGTGATGGTGAGTATGAGCGTGTTAACACTGCTGAATAGATATTGACAGGTCAGTAGATGGCATAGTTGTCATTTAAAGCTGAACTACAGTTCACAAACACCTCAGCTCCAGCAACGTCAGGTCTATAAGCTCCATCTTTGGCCTGCGCAGGATGATGTAACTCACACGTTCAGAAGTTAAATCATCCCGGAAGGTGCTGGAAATGTACACTGAGCTAAGTGTACAGAAGATTACCAGGTGAGGATGATGGTAAGAAGCCTTTATTGTAAGGGAGACATGGTATGTATATTCTGTAATAAAAAAGACTGCATTCAATGTGATGACATCAGTAAGGCTTATGCCAGTGCCTAGGGGAGATTAGGCTGTGGGGCCAGTCTAGCAACTTGGCGGGATTGAGAATTGGTTGATTGTTTTTTTGTTGGAGCCCCTAAAGTAAAATGAGCAGTTAACCCTTGCAGTGCTGGGTGGGGGGTAGCTTCACTGCAAGGGATAACTTTCTCTGTTTAAGTTAATTTTAGTGCACAGGAGCATAATATATGACCCAATTTGTGGTAAAATATAAGAGAGGAGGTTGTTCCGAGTGAATAGATAACCCCCACATGCTTAACTTCAAAATTGTGTGCGCCCATGAAACCGTGAAAAACGACAGTACCCCAAATTGTCCATAGGCAACACTTTTAAAAAACCTGTACAGGTCTTCAATTTGGAGTTAACCGTGATTATTGACTCTAGAATTATTGCTCCGGAGTGCATGGCTATACCAATCGCTTTCATGTGTAGGCACACCCTACGCGTGTTTGAGTTTGTATGTGTGCGTATGCTGGGTGGGGGCCTACATTTATTTAACTTTTTTTACTTCAGTTTATTGCTTTCTCATAGGGAGATTGCTATCACATGGGGGACACATGTAAATGGATTTCTTACCGGGGCCCACTGCTGCCGATCTAAGACATATTTTGGCAGCGGCGAAAGGGTTAAAAGAGCAATAATACAAAGCTACTGCATGCAAAATTCAGTAACCACCAATGAGCCCTCATCTTATGGATTTACCCATTTCGGGATGGATAAAGCTGTTTGCTTGTTTTTGTTTTGTATCTGTGTATCATTAAAGGAGATTTCTTATGCCTTCCTGTCCTGCAGAGGAGATCTTTCCAATATGCCAGTTGTCATGGGAACAATTGATCCCATTGGAAGATTTACCAGTTCTTCTGGCAACTCAAATTGTGCGTTTCCCACCTCCCTTTCATTCCCAATGACATTGGTGATCAGGATGATTAGACTGAATTTGTATAACAGGGACAGGCAACAATAGAAACCTGACAGGGACCCTAATCCCTCTCTACAGCCTCAGTTTTGTAGTTAAAGTGTAGTTGCAATTTTTTCATTTCAATTGCTTGCTTGCTTTGGTTTTACCTTTAGGCCTTGTTCACACCAAATGCAGATCCGGTCAGGTTTCTGCACACGCACGCTAGTCTTTTAGATGTGTTTTTTGATGCGTTTTCACTCCCTGCTCAATTGAGCTCACACTGATCAGCGGGTGTCGATCACTTCCAATCCAGAAAATAATCCAGGGGTTGTTTCCAGCATGTGCGGCCGCACAGCGAAGTAAATAAAGACACACTGGGCTGAAAGGTGGATGGTAGGATGGAGCGCCCTGGGACGCCCCTCTGAGGAAGCCCCAGTGGTTTGGGGGGAAACGCGTAAGGGTCAGCGTGTGTTTTCAGACTCCCCTTGGATACCCGCTTCACCTCACCCACGGTCGAGTGAAGGAAACAACTTTCTCATTGTCGATGGACAGGACGGAACGAAAACCCTTTAAACCACTGTTATCTCGTAACTGCAGTGAAATCTGTAGGAAACTGAACCGAGATTGAGAACAGCTTGTGGGCTGAGGTTGCTCCATCCTACTATCCACCTTTCAGCCCAGTGTGTCTTTATTTACTTCGCTGTGCGGCCGCACATGCTGGAAACAACCCCTGGATTATTTTCTGGATTGGAAGTGATCGACACCTGCTGATCAGTGTGAGCTAGATTGAGCAGGGAGTGAAACGCTCATCGGAGCCTCCAGACATACAAGGATAACAACTATCTGGAGTCACAATCCCACACTAAGATACACCTCACAGAATTTACTCCATCCACGTTTAAACGGGGGACCCTACAAGGACTGTCCCTCAACGCAAACCACACAGGTTGTGAGTACGCTGTGATACATTGTATCCGTCTTTAAAACACATCTATGTGTATATACTAGGGCTGCAACAACTAATCGACATAATCGATTATAATCGATTATTGAAAAAGTTGTCAACTTTTTCAATAATCGATTAATCGGCTTCCGATCAGTTGGCCCTGTTCACGGGTCCACAAACGCGCACCGCACCTCCTCCCCAACTCGCTCACCGCTGCCAGACCCGCCCGCATCCGCGGTCTACACGCCGCACCTCCTTCCCGCCTCACACTCTCCGCCCGCCCACATCCACGATTGGCACAGGGATTACATTATACAGCGCAATGCAGAATACCACCAGCTATAGAGGAGCACAGCAAATCCCAGCAATAGTACATTATACAGTGGTGCAATGCCAAATACCACTAGCTATAGAGGACTACAAATCCCAGCAATAATACATTATACAGTGGTGCAATGCCGAATACCACTAGCTATAGAGGACTACAAAACCCAGCAATAGTACATTATACAGCGCAATGCAGAATACCACCAGCTATAATGTACTATTGCTGGGATTTGTTGTAGTCCTCTATAGCTGGTGATATTCTGCATTGCGCTGTATAATGTACTATTGCTGGGATTTGTAGTCCTCTATAGCCGGTGCCATTCTGCATGCATTGCTGTATAATTTTACACTTTCCATTTCACTATATTGCACACCACACCATTTTTTTACTTCCACCGCTCCAAGCTTGCTCCTGTGATCCATTTTTTAAAATGTATGTTATTGTTTATCCGATTTAACCGATTAATCGAACTTAATAATCGGCTAACTAATCGATTTTCAAAAATAATCGTTAGCTGCAGCTCTAGTATATACTAGTGACTATTTACCACTGAGGTGGTCTCTAGATTATCACTCGTATTACTATAAGTGGTATTTCAAGGGGATGTCTTTTTACTTGTTTTTAGATGACTTGTTATATTGGATCCTATGTGTATTTTTCTTTGTCATTAAATATAGTTGTGTTTTTATTATACATCATTTCCATTTTGTGTCACCTGTTTACCAGATCAGCTCCAATATAGGGATTTCTTTGTTTGGGGAACCTTCTTTTTTGAATTAGTTTACGGAAACCCTTGAGACTGATATAGATCACATATTATAGTCTGTCTTTAGCGTAACTCCTCACTCCCCTTGTTGTTTCTAAGGGTATTTTACCTGCTCTGGATCTGCAAACGCATCAAAAATGCATGCAAATGCCTGGAACGCACTGAAAGCCCATGTTAAACTAAAAAAAAAAATTGTTTTTTTTTTAGTCAAAAACGCATCTAAAAGACGAGTGCCGAAACCTGACCGGATCTGCTCTGCATTTGGTGTGAACAAGGCCTTAGTGTTGTGCTCCTTGCAATGTTTCTTCAATAAGCTATATGAGTTTAAAGGCCAGCTGAATCTTCAGTGATTTACTGGGGTATTTTAGGATACATATATAGTAATATGAGGCTCTTTTACTTTGGGGAGGGCGTGGGACATGTGCCGTACAGATGGGCCACTGCATTGAGAACCCTTGTCTGGTTTAACCCTTGCTGCAGTACTTATTTTTCTTTTTTACAATGTTAAAGGAGAACTATGAGAAGTGATTTCCACTCACCTCATAGTTCTAGCCGACCTGTGACAATGAGACTGTCACAGGTCGGCTCAGTAGATCGGGAGGTGAGCGAACACATACCAGGTTCGCTCACCTCTCGATCCTGTCACGGCTCTCTGACGTGACAGGGG